GGTCGGTGGTCCCAGAAGTCTCCTGGAGGAGACTCAGAGGGGATCTGTTGGCGACATAAAGGTATGTGAGGGGGTGTCACATGGAGGCGGGGAGAGACCTGTTCTCCCCTGCAGAGGAAGGCAGGACGCGCTCCAACGGAGCCAAGCTCAGGGAACCCAGGCTCTATTTGGATGCCAGGAAGCACTTCCTGACAGTCGGGACCCCGAGGGTGTGGAATGGGCTCCCACGGGAGGTGGTTGAGGCCCCATCGGTGCGGGTGTTCAAGGACAGGCTGGACGTCCACATGGTGGGCATGTCGTGAGCGGAGCCAGCTGGTGCCGGAAGTCAGACTAGATGGCCCGGGAGGCCCCTTCTGACTCGCTCTGTTCCTATGTTTCTATGTAAGCCCCAGGGGGTTCTGAAGAACCTGCAGGCACGCACTGCGGAGCCTGAACTGTGATTGGCGCCGGTTTTGATTGCACAAGTCGGCCTGGTGGGGAAATGCACATGCAACAGGCCACTGTACACCCCTCCGGTTGTCACGTGCATGAGTGCCGATGCCAACAAAACCTACTTTATCAGACAATGTAACCTGCATTTCCACTAAAGCGACTTATTTAACTGAATGTGAAGAGGAGGAGGTCACATGCGGTTTGTAGGAAGAAGTGCAACAGACACAGAAACAGTGAGCCAGAAGGGGCTCCAGCCGGCTCTGCTCTTGTGGTGCTCGGCATGTGTGTCTCCAGTCTTTCCTTGAACGCCCTCACAGATGGGGCCTCCACCAGCTCCCTGGGAAGCCTATTCAGTACCCTAGACCTAAGAACACGATTCTATAACCACAAATTTGCCATTTTTATCTCCCCCAAACCTTGAGCAATCTTTTGCAAGACCATTTGACTCATCTGCATACAGTCTCTGAGACATACAACTTTGATTTATTACTAAATAAAATATTACTATTTATTCCCTTGAATTTATGACATTCACTGTTCTGTTGTATCCTCACAACAACCCTGTGAGGTAGCTTAGTTTGAGAGTAAGGCCAGGCCCAGAGGGGCCCAGTCAGCTTCATGGCCCAGAGGGACCTAGAACCGGAGCGCCTGCGTCCCAGGCCAGCCCTCCGACCACTGCATCACACCGGCTCTCCATTGCTTCCAGTCCGGTAACCAAAGACAGCGGCGCGCCCAAGAGCAAGGAAGAAGACCGGCTCCGGAGTCTTGGGTCCGAGCGGTCGGAGCGTGGCCAGGATGCAGGGGGCCCTTGCTGCAGCCCTTCTCGGCGGCCGCAGAACCCTCTCGGGGAATGGGGCTCCCAGGACTACTTCACAGGGTGGCTGCGAGGATCACATGGCAGGGAGGGGAAGGGGGCGCACAAGCTGCCTTGGGGTGCCCGCAGGAAGGAAAACGGCGCCATCGCTGCTGCTGCTGCTCCCTCCTCAGCTTGCTGCCTCTCACGCCTCTGCTTTTCTCCTTGGGGACTGTCCTGTCCGTCCAACATCCCGGCTCCGGGGCATTTAGCACTAAATGCATGCACGGTATTAATCACCTCATTGCTCAAAAGCCACCCATCGTGGAGGGGCAGGCAGGAGGCGAAGCGGCAGCCCTCCTGGGCCAGGCCGTGGCATGTGGCCTTTCAGGTCGCAGCAGCTGCCACAAATGAGCCCCATGCCTGCCAGGAACGCCGCAGATCCCAGCTGCCGCTGGCCTTGCTCTCGCAGCAGGCGGCCGACCGGCTAATTGCCTTCCTGTACCGAGCAGGTGACAGTGCCCCACGCCACAAGACGGGCTGTTTGTGCCTGGAGGCCGTGAGGATGCCCAGGCGCCTGGATCCGGGCCAGTCCTGGCCAGCCAGGCGCGGGGCAGCCCCGCTCGGCTCTTCCGTGGCCCCCTCCGTCCCTGGGCCCTCCCGGCGGGTTCCTCTGGGCCAAGTCCGCGGGGAGCCAGCACAGGCGGCCCCGGCACGGCACGGCACGGCAAGCGGGACGGGCAGGAGCTGGCTGGCCGCCCCGGGAGGAAGGGCCGGGATCTGGGAGGCTGCGGGGAAGGCGCCCCTGGCCCGCGAGTCTCCCTGGACGGCACAAAGCTGCGCGGGCCACCCTCCCTCGCTGCAGCGGGCGCTTCCGGGCCGGCACGGCGGGGCCTGGCCGCCGCCCGCTTCCGGGACCCGCTTCCCGCCGAGCTCCTGCTCGGCTCGGCCCCGCCCTGCGCCGGGCCCCCCTGCCGGCCCCGCGACGCCCGGAGCGCCCCCTCGCCGGCAGCGCCCCGGCGGCCGCGCACAGCAGGGCTGGCCAGGGGGC